ACGGGATTTCCCAAGGGTAATAGGGGAGCTAGTTCGACAATTACGAGCAATATACGATTTAGATATTTGGTATTTGAAACAAGGTTTGGTGGTTGCTGAGGTCTGTGGGACGGGAGGAACGAGGCTGCAAATGCAGCAGGCCGTCACAGCACAGGCACGTTGGAGAACGGGGTGATTGGAGGACAGGTTCTAGGGTCTAGGCCGAAGGGAAAACGATGATGCGATATGGCAGGAGGTAGTCGAATTTGTGGCAGATATGTATCTTCATCTCCAGGAGTTATCAAGTTGTTCCTGAGTACAAATTACTATGAACGGATGACCAATTGATCACGTGATAATACAATTAGCCGCTTGGGTTTAGCGCGAATGGTTGGAAGAACACCAGAAATCCCATGGCGGATCCTATGATTCCTATCTAGAATCCGCTGTGTCCGACGTTGCTTGTGCTGACTCACAGCCCACTGTTTCAAGCAGAATGTGAGGGCTTAGCAGCTCCTTTGCTGGCCTACCTGAGCTGAGCAACTTGGGGCGCACAGAGATGCATTCAAGGGGCTGCCAATCTTGGGTTATTGTGTTGAGCTATTCCCTACTAGCATCGCCCATCAAACCATTCGTCCATCCTGACTTCACCTTAGGCATGGCAGGCTCCCTGGGAGAATTAGAACCTCGTATTTTTCCCCCCTCTACGTCCCGGACCTGGGCATCACATATCTCCCCCAATCCCCCCAGCCTGACTAATTGACATGTTGCCCTCGCTCACGGCTGCGTGCTCGCTGTCCAATCAACTTGCCGATGCATGAGGTGACGTCAATGGATGCACTGATTAGTTGTGGGACGTCTAAAAGTGGTTGTATTAGCATGCAGGCAGCTGAGGCATATATGTGCGGTGCGCTAGTCCGTGATAGGCAGCCTAGGGCCAACATTAGTAACGCATGCTGACACATTCATATCTGATTTCAAAGTATACGAAGCGATTCTAACGGCGTTAATATCTCTGCTCTCCATCGCCTCCGTGCGAGTGGACGGCTCAATATAAATTCCATACCTCCCTCATGGGGGTGGGAAGAGGAACTTTTTACCCATTATACCTTCTGGTTTTTAAATTTCACATCATAGAAGCTCTACTTTTTCTAACAGCATTAATACGATCAAGTTCCCTAGTATCCCCTATATCCCCCTTCTTTTATCCCAATAGACTATCCCCGGTTTTCGTATGGTCTACAACAGTAACGGCGACTGGTTGCCCAGTCTTAATTCACTTTGTCTGTCTCTGAAGAGGATACTTTTTACGTCCCTCGTTG